AATATAAAATATGTACTTCTTCAGCTCCTGCACGTCAGTACTGTTTTCTGGAAGGACCCGAATCCCCCTTCCGTACGCCGTCCCTCCATGCAGATGAAAAGCCAGGTGATCGACCTCCTCATGGCTGCTGGTGAGGCCAGGTACCTTACTGGATCCTGAAATCGCTCGCAGGTTGTAGATCCTCAAAAAGGCTCCGGGCTGATGGGACAAACAAGAAAGACAAAATAAATCTACCAAAAAGTTAAGAAACCGATCTGAGAGTTCATGTTTTGCTCTTAAAAAAATTGTATTGCCTAAAACATCAAGTTAAAGTTAATTCAATGTGCATTATGACATAATGGAGTATTATTTCAACCCAGGTTTACAAAGCACTTCCCAAATTGTCTATCAATCAATCAGCACAGCTGCCATGTAAGGTGCCAGTAGCCATCAGCAACAATTTGCGGCTCAGTGTCTCGCTCACTGATCCTGACGTGTCCCCACATTAACCGCAGATCGAACCTCTAACCCTGCGTTTAATGGAGCACCTGCTCAAACCTCCCCGACGCCGCCACCACAGTGAGACACAACAGATGACTCTGTGTTTCAGTGTTTCCAGACTGTTGCAAAGGTAATGGAGGAAAACACTTTTTATTGTGATAAACTGTTTATACGAGTACACCAAACTTTCATGAAGTTGGAGGACGTTTGAGAAAGAGATTTTTTGTTTTAATTTTGAGGAGAGAGAACAAACTGTCAAAACAACCCAAGGATTTTGCTTCTCATTTGTCTCGTATGTCTCCTTTTTCTCTCACTCGGGTCGGATCCTTTTGCCTTATTTCCTCCCATGTTAGATGATAGGAGGAGCTGTGTGGAGAAAATGCAAAGTGAAAGGAAATGAGACGACCTTTCCTCCGACTGAAGCAACTGAAGTCCGTTTCTGGTGAAGTGAGCTGGATCGGTCTGCAGGCGTTAAGAGCTTGTTGTGCATTGTAGTTTTTATTTGCACAGATAATGTGAGGTGAGTAATTATGATGCAGCAGTGCAGTGATGGCCTCAAATTACATAAGTGAATCTAAATGAAATAAACATTTACATTCATTAAAAATGTAAAATGTATTTGTATTGTGAACAGATCCTTTAAACCACAGTTTGTCTGCCTCGACAATGAATGCCAACAAGGCTTTATTTTTTATTGACTCTTGAACTTTCTTTGTGAATCTTTGACATTAACATGTGGATTTGAACCATCAACACTTGAACACGTCAGAATGTGAGACATGTTGCAGACATGTTGCAGACATGTGGACGACACATGTTCTGTCTTCACCTAAAGAGCAGGTCGAGACATCTATAAACAGTCAACGTTTATAAATACACGCAGGTATTTCAGCAGCACGAGCTGCCTTCATGTGGACACGTTAGGAATTCACAACGACTTCATTTACAAAACCGACAGTTTGAGTTAAAAACTAATCTAAATTAATTTATACGATAAAAATCTTCAGGAACGAGTTTGAAACATATAAATTAAACTTGTTTCCTGTTTCACTTCCTGTGTTTGTCTAATGAATCTCACCTGAGTGGATTGACTCCGCCTCCTCTACGTTCACACTCTCTCGCCAGAGTTTGATGAAGAACTTCCAACATGTGATAAAGTTGTGAAGCTTCTGTTTTCAGCTTTAAGACTTTGTTTACTGTGGAAGTCGACTCTCCGACGTCAGGTCAAAGTTTTTACGCTGAAACATTCGCCTCAAATACTCCAGACTGAAGACCATGAAACCTGAAGACA